TATGTGTGATAATTCATTTTGTTTTTCTTACTAATAAAAATCCACATTAATTATGAAGACACCATCTAAAGATAAGAATAACTAAGGTTTAAAAGTCAGTGATATTTGTTTCAAATTAGTTTACTTAAATTTTAAAATCAACTAATCTTCCTCAAATAAAGTTTCAGAAAATTGAAAGATTTTTTTATTAAAGAAAGTCATGTTGTGTCGACAGATTTGCTAATTTGGTTGATTTTTAACGATTTAAAAAAAATCATTCCAATTAATTTAAATTCAGTTTGAAATACAGCAAAGTATTTTGCTTATTGGAAATATTAAATTTAATCTTTATAGAAAATAAGCTCTATTTCCAACACAATTACATACCCACAAATACCATACTAAAACACGCCCAAAATTTATTTTCTACCCAATAACAGACAATATTACAAACGTACCAAAAAGCTTCCACAATACAACACACACCGTTTAAATCAGGTATCTATTGGTTATAAATTAACACCACTATGTGAAATATTTGACCAATCAGAGAAAACTAAAACCCTATTCTTCTCGAGCTGACTTTCGGGGTAAAATAAACCGACACATTACGACTTTCATGAGCAGAAATATGCGATGGTCTCCGAGTCATTCAGCTACAGAGAGATGCGACTGCCTCCACGCCGTGGCTACATAGCTTATAACCCCCACCCCGCTACGGTGAGTACTGAAAGAAACATGTCGACTTCAAACGAATCATCTCCAACAACAAAGACGAATATTCGCTAACGATAAAAGCCTTTTTTTCATCCACGGCTCTTTCTGTGAAACAACTACACAAAAATTAACAACTAAGTTAAAATTTTTAACCCTCTTTAAAATATATATAAAAATATAAAAACTATGACATTAATTAATTAGAAAAAACTTTCACCTGTTTTTTATAAACACGTTATACTAAGGACATTATTTTGTGAAGAAATAAAATTTTTTCGATGAATAATGTATTTTTTACAAATTTAAAAAATTTTTTTTCATTAAGTTCTTAACTTCAAACAAAAATCATTTAAAATTCTTTATTGCTTTCAAGCACGTAATGCAATGATAACGTTAATGAAAAAGTAAATTTACGAATCGATATTTGAAAAGCACATAACAGTCGTTTGACCCCAAATTTTTTAAAAATAATTTAAAAAAAAAAATTTTAAAAAAAAAAAAAAAAAAAAATACGTTCATAATTTCTACGTATGGAAATGTATACATGACAATGCTTAAAAAATTTTAAACAATTATCTAATTAATAAAAAAAACTTTAAATAATTACCTAATTAAGAAAGTATGAAATAAAAAATATATTACATAAGTGCTGAATAAAAATGTTAATATTTAAAAAGTACTAGTTAAAAACGAAAAACCGCGTTCGCTTACTTTGTAAAAATTGTCAATTTTGATCATCCATAGTAATCTGTCATAACCTCGTCACAATCGAGCATTTTTTAATCGTGATATGCTGCTTTTTTTACGTGACCTAATGGAGGAACCTATATATATATATATATATATATATATATATATAACCCCTGATATAAGAGATTTTCTCTGGTCCCAAATTAGAGCCTGTGTTAATGTATATAAAATAGACCAAACCCGGATATAAGAAAACCCGGATATAAGAGACTTCTCCGGTCCCGACAACTCTCTTATATCCGGGTTACACTATATATATATATATATATATATATGTGTGTGTGTGTGTGTGTACGCACGCGCAAATACAAACGATTTATTTAACAGACATACATTTGTTTTCTTTAATTTTATTATTGTTTGGAATTGGAACGTTCGAATTTTTGATAAAAAAAAAAAAAAATAGATTCGACTAAATTTCCTGCATTATTAGCTTGAAATTAAAACTAAAATAAAAACTTCAAGACATTTTTATTTTTAAACCTAGGTATTGCTTTTCTTTGGGGGTACCTAAATTTATAAAGTTACTCCCCTCCCCGAAAAAGAGATTCCTCAGTTTAAAAATATAATGTATTTAAAAAATAAAATGTATTTAAAAAAAAAAAAAATCTTTCTTGAAGCTTTTTTTTTAAAAAAAAAAAAATCCAATAGATTAAATGTTTGCAATGACCAAAATACTTCGTTGCATTTCAAACTGAATTTAAACTGATTGGAGTATTTATTTCCCTGATTATCAGTAAAAAATCTGTCAGCACAACATTTTTAAAAAATCTTTCAAAAATAAAATATACTTTTCTGAAATTTTATTTGAGGAAGATTAACTGATTTAAATTAAATTTTAATTAATCTAAATTGAAACAAATATTACTTTTATTGTAAAATATCGCAGAATTTTTTTTTTAACAGACAGGTGGGTACTATTTACAGTGTTCGGGCTATTGTCCTCATCTTTGTTGCCATATTTATCACAACGTTTCGGTCGGTGTACGCTCCGGCCTTCTTCAGGTGGTTAGAATATCTAACTGAACCCTTTATTTCGCTCGCTGGGATAGACTGTTCTAGTTCCACGTGCCATGTCTAATGGATGTCAGTTATCAGTTATCTCCTGTTAATTTCCCTCTCCAAGTTCTCCACCGCCTTAACCGAAATAAAATGTTCAGTTCGACATTCCAACCAATGATAGTTCGAACAATTTAAATCGTGTACATAATACCTCATCTCAGAAATATAGACAGATACAAAGAGGTGGGTGTTTCTAATTGACAACCGCATATTTGGGAAATTTATCTAAGGAGGAGATAATGGACATAAAGTTACATGGCAAATATAACGTACATGTCTTTTTTATATAATTTTTTATTACAAAGTAATCTCAAAAATTTTAAATATTTTAAGCATTCTAATATTTTATTGAATTAAAAGGTACTTCGGTTTCATAGTCTTACTTATGAAAACGTTCGTTGAGAAAATATTAGAAAATTACCAATAAATTTTTAATTTACTATAGTTACTACTCTATCTGATAATGCCGTATAGAACAGACGCCCGTATTTACAAAAATCGGCACATTTATACACCAATGGATTTATCACTGAATCGAATAAATTTAATTTTTAAAAAGAATTGTTGGTAACGCAATGGTTATATAGTTCATGGAAAATGAAATAAGCAAGAGTCAAGGACTAATTCAAATCCCCACCTTAGCAAATACCATTGAAAAAAAAAATTATGAATCTACCAATCGAGTTGTCTAGACTTGGGAGTCAACCAAAGAGGACAATTCTAAATTCAAAACTAGTAAAACCACGACACTATTTTCACAAGAGGCCATGACAATTCGCTGATAAATAAAAAAAATAAATTATAAAATAAATAAAGGAATTTATGGAGAACCGTGACCGCCTACGCTCTAAAGGAACTTGGCATTTAATAATAATAATAAAAAATCGGGTCAGGCCGACATAAAAAAATTACTCCGCCCACACTTTACGAACGTGGTTTAAAATTTCTTTCAATGCTGGACTGGCTCAATCGTTACAACGAAAGTCGGAGAAGGGGTATACTTAAAAATTCTCACAAAATATTTATAACGATAAAATTTAAAGCAAGGATTCAGATAATTTAATGTGTATTTTTATTAGAAAATATATTTTCCTTTATTTTTATACGTTTTGATTCAAAACTTTTGAATGAATATGACCTTGGGAAAACTTTTAAAAGTTTTTCTTTTGGAGTTTTGTTTGCTAAATCGAGCCTTTCGTTGTGTTTTATGAAGAAGACAGCATGTTGCAATTTTTCTGTTTGCAACCACCTCATAATGGTAACCTTTCAAACTAAACATTTTGGTACAAATCAATTCCTCCGGTCCGTGTCGAAATGTGTTTGACGTCACGGAAAAATTGGAAGAATTCACATCAAACAGTGTAATGAGAATCGAACAAAAATTTAAATTATTGAAATAAAGTATAAATCAATTATTTTATTAAACAAAGCATAAGAAATAAACTAACAGAGGGAAATGCAATGGATACTGAAAAAGATTGAACATTTACCTCATTATGAATTCTTTGCATGTTTACAAGTTTTACAGCACGGAACCACAGTACTTAGTCTGTAATGTATCTTTTTGGGGGAGGGCGCTTTGCCATTGAGTAGTGGTTAGTGAGCCGCTTTTTTTGGCACAATGCCAAAAAAAAAAAAAAAAAAAAAAAGTGTGTGGGGTTAAGAAACCAGATGTTAAGTTTTAAAAATTTCTGATAATATATTAAAATCTAAAAACGTTCACTGCTTATCGAATGTCAACACAGTGTTTCGTAATATTTGAATCGTTCATCGGGACCTTCTACAAGACAAGAAGGACTGTACTAATCGCAGAAAATCTAACTTATAAACGCATATATTTTTATATTTATTTTAAATCTGATCCTCATAAAAATAGATATTTCTTTTAGATCCATTATCCTACTGCGTGTATGAAAAATAAACTCTTTTTGACCTGCTTTTATTTTATAATCACTTACCAGGTTATAAACAATAATAATCAAGTCAAGAGAAGTATGTGATTTTTTGATTTAAAAAAAAAAAACAAACAAAAAAACAAAAAAAAAAACAGCTATAAAAATAAAAACAAAAACTTAAATGAACACAGCTCTAAGCAGGATATGGGTTGTGCTTCTTAGAACTAGTTTTTATTATTTCCCGGAGAGATGGTGTACCAGGGATTTTGCCAATTTATTCTTGAGTTCCTTTCTTTATCAGACCGAAAGCTCCAACTACAACAGGAACAATTCTTTTAGTTTTTTAGTGTCACATTTTTTTTTTATTACCATCAGCAGGTTTTTATTTTTATTTCTTCTTCCTTTGTTTTGTATACTCATTTCCTTCCGGGTCCCAACCAGAGACCTAAGGTCAGGAATAGCATCATATATTTTCTGTTTTCTTTCCTTCCACCTTCGGGTAGTTTATTATTATTATTACCAACCTTCTAAAATGTACAGGTTGCAATTGTAACTGAGTAGTACTATTTAATTTTTATTAAGAAATATTTCTTCATGTTAGCTGCGTTCATGTATCCCATTTGCAATTTGACTTGTCATTTTTGATGTCGGAGGAGAGAGAAAGGGGGAGAGAGAGAGAGAAAGGGGGAGAGGGAGGGAGAAAGGGGGAGAGGGAGGGAGAGGGAGGGAGAGGGGGAAAAAAGAGAATGAAACAAAAGAAAAATGCCTCGAAGTGTGCTCTATATAGTTGAGAAGACGATATATAGTCTCTTATCTGGTTGACTCTGTAACCCTTAGACAGGAATAAGGTGGTTGCTTCTAACCTTAAGAGACTGAGTAAAAAAAGTCTACCCCCCCCGCCTCTTTAAGTGAATCGAATTTCGCAAAAAGGCTCGGATCTTTTGACAAAAACAGATTGCTCTGTTGAGTAGAATACATCTTCGTGTGTATACTAAAACTTAGACTAGTGGATTAAGAAAATACTTTTACATTTTGTGCGATCATCATTTTTTTTTTCTTTTAAAAGATTTTAAATGTTTTTCATGCTTCACAATAAATTGAAATCTAGCGAAGAAAAAAATTGACCTCCAAGCAATGCAATAAAAACGCTACTTTCTTCTTCAACACGCCAAACTCAACAGGTACGTTAATTAATTAGTAGAATATTAATTGAACATAAATTATTCATTAATAATTAATAAAATATAAAAATGAATATAAAAATGAATATAAAAATAATAATTTGAAAATTTACCTTGTAGTATATCCAAACGTTTGATCAAGACGAAATGTCTGAACCAGATTTTTTACAGAAAAAAAAGAAAGGATATTAAATAACTATTAACACAGGCAAGTAAAAGAATTTTAAAATATGGAGACGACGGCTGATGAAGGAGGGAGGGCTTTAGTGATGATGATGACGACGACAACAAGGATGATGGCTGTGGTGAATCATAAAAAGCAATAAGTGGTGAGATAACATCATAAAAGAAACCCAAGAACGAAATGTCTTCCTTTTAAGTTTTTTTTAAGCCTTACTGAAAGCAAAACTCAGAAGTGAGCGAAAAGACGAAGGGGAAAGGAAGAAGGTGAAAATGACAGAGAGGAAGAAAGAAACAAGGAAAAGAAGAAAAAAAAAAAGAGCAACAAGGAAAAGAAGAAAATAAAAGAAGAAGAAAATAAAAGAGGAAGAAGGAAAAGAAGAAAATAAAAGAGGAAGAAGGAAAAGAAGAAAATAAAAGAGGAAGAAGGAAAAGAAGAAAATAAAAGAGGAAGAAGGAAAAGAAGAAAATAAAAGAGGAAGAAGGAAAAGAAGAAAATAAAAGAGGAAGAAGGAAAAGAAGAAAATAAAAGAGGAAGAAGGAAAAGAAGAAAATAAAAGAGGAAGAAGGAAAAGAAGAAAATAAAAGAGGAAGAAGGAAAAGAAGAAAAGAGGAAGAAGGAAAAGAAGAAAAGAGGAAGAAGGAAAAGAAGAAAAGAGGAAGAAGGAAAAGAAGAAAAGAGGAAGAAGGAAAAGAAGAAAAGAGGAAGAAGGAAAAGAAGAAAAGAGGAAAAGAAGAAAGAAAAAGGGCGAGGAAGAGAAAGAAGACAAAGTAAAATAAAGGAAGACAAAAAAAACACAAAGCTAAAAAGAGGAAGAAAAGTGGCTAGGAAGAAAAAGAAAAAAGAGGGAAAGAAGATGGTGAACGAAAAGACAACAAAGAAAGTAGACGAAGAAAAAAGAAAGTGAAAATAACAGTAGAAGAAGAAGAGAAAAAAAAAACTTAAAAAGTTTTCAAACAAAAAAATGCTTATGGAAAGAAATAAAAATACGGAATTCTGAATTCGTTTTGGTAAAACTAAAACTTTGTTACATTTGTGATTTTGACAACGTTTATATAGAAAAGAAAAAAGGAAGAGAAAAACAACAACAAGTGAGCAGAAAAAGGCGGGAAACGGAGAAACTGCGGAATTGGTCGGTGAAGCGCGGAGGGGGGGGTCGTGAACTCAAAGTAGAAAAATTGGTAATGAAGAAAAAAGAACGTTTCTCAGTCGATGTATTTATTTATTTGCTTTTCGTTAACTGCAAAATTGAAGCCAGCATTTTTGTGTGCATTGGAATGTTTTGTTTATTTCTTTTCTTTCTCTTCATTTTTTTTTTTTTTTTAATTCCTGAAGTCGCGCACGAAAGTTTGTACGTACTGGACTCGTAGTTTATGTAAAAGAAAGAAAAATAAATAAATAAATAAATAAATAAAACAAAATAAAATAAAAACGTCATTATATTTAACTTTCACCTAATTAAAAACTAAAATTTCTTTCAAGCTCAGGATGAACAGATACGCGTGCAATGTATATCTTATGCGTGCAGCCTGTTATTTTCTGTCTGTATGCTGTCGGCTGTAAGTTTCTGATACAAAATTTGTTGTGAATCTAGTTTGTCCTGAGGGGTGTTGCTGTCTGCGTGTCTAAATTGATTTACTGTATCTCTGTAAAGATTTCGTAGATCTGCGATGTCAAGTGAGCAGAATACGTTGGAAAGATGTTTGTGTGTCGGGATTATGTGTCCGGGGTGATAAGTGTGGGTCTGTAGTCATGTTTATAAATTACTTGCTAAGTCAGTGAGTTCATTCTTTTCCGAGCGCCCCCTTCTACGACCATGTATCAGACTAAATTTATACTGACTAGTTTTAACCCGTGAAAATGTCATGGTTTTCCTATCTGAATCTTATTCTTAAAATTCTTCAGTTGACTAAGAAGCTCATTGCCATTTCCACGGCAGAAATTCCCCTATCGCATCGTTAAATATTTGAGCTTAACAACTTTAACAAAATAAATTGCAATAACAATCATAAATATGAATGGTATTCATTATTTTAAGAAGTAAGGGGGTACAAATGAAAAGATTTGAAATTGACAACGTTTTCCATTTCATTGAAGCAAACATTCATTAAACACTTCTATCATTTCTTTTTTCTCTAATTTTCTCACTGAAACCAAGTAGTGTTTTTTCCTCTCTTTCCACATGATCAAAACGTAATAGTTTATTATTTATGAGATATTGGCAGGACATAATGGTCGTGTGAACTAACGGAGGACGGGACAATCACAGTTATAACAGGATATTAATTTTGTGAACATTTAGTCTTAGGACAGAGAAAAGTAGTAAAGGGGCAAACAAGAGTTTAAATAACTCTTGCTTGCCTGTTTAGATAGGGACACTATGGTGAGCCATGATCTCCCACATCCTGAAATGATAGCACGTGAAAGAGACTAGGGATGATCGAACATATCAAAAGCGGTTTGTGAAGTTTTTGTGTTGAACATTTCTCATTAAACAATGCTCCATTCTCAGGGAGGCCGCTTGGAGTTTATCATCAGTTCCTTGACTGCTTCGATCATCATCTTCCCCATACTCCTTTCAGTGGGCTTTCAGATAGCTTGGTAGTGCCCATCTCCTCTCCCCAAGCTTTTGACAGACAACCAAAAGCCACGAAATATGGTGTGGGTTGTTCTCGGTCCATACACTTCAGGGGTCAGCAACCCAGGGCATGCGTGCCATATGCGGCACCCTAAGCAATTTCCAATGGCATGCAGCCACAAATGATATCACAAAGTCTGAACCAATAACTACTACAACTCAAAGAAGATATTTAGCTGTTTCAATTTTAATATATACTAAAGTATATATGCTATATATTACTATATAAAATATATTGTAGAGTAGATACTTTTTACCCACTAACAAACAAACCAAAAAGATTTCACAATTCAACTACAACACACACCGTTTAAACCAAATTGTATTGGTTAGAAATTAAGATCACCAGATGAAATATTTGACCAATGCGAGAAAAATAAATCCCTATTTATCTCAAACCTACTTTCGGGAAAATTTCTTATAAAAACGTACAGATTTCAACTTTCAAAGAACAGATATGTGACTGTTACCCTCAATCCCATGCATGCTGAAAGAAACATACGTCAATGACTTCAAAACAAATCATTTCGAACAACAACATGGCCAGTTGCTGACCACAAATGTTCATAGCTGGGACCCTAAGAGGTGCTACCACTCTGGTTCAAGGTGAACCTAGGAACAACAGCAAATAAGAGGGGGGTACTATGTTCCACAAAACATTCAATTTTCCGATCTGAGGCCTTGCAGTAGTTTATCGTCATACCAAGGATTATCATTTGGGGGAGGGGACCGTAATCCTCCGTAGAGGTATACTCAGCATATTCTCCAGCCCCTGCCAACAGGGCAATTTACTTTTAATGATAAAAAAGTTGTTACAATACAGTTAATGATGTTATAGGAAAGAAACGCTATTTCCAACACAAATTACATACCAAGCTTTATTTTCTACCCAATAACAAACAAACCTAAAAGATTTTACAATACAACTATAATACATCGCACACTGTTTAAATCAAGGTATCTATTGGTTAGAAATTAACACCACTATGTCAAATATTTGACCAGAGTAAACTAAAATCCTATTTTTCTCGAGTTGACATTGTGGGGTGGGGGTCATGGGTAGACAGATTTCAACTTTCAGGGATCAGAGAAGTGGCTTTCTCTAAACTGAACCCAAGGAAGTAGAGATATGCAACTGTCTCCACGTTGTGGCTACATAGCTTTTTCTTCCTCCACCAGCACGTGCTGAAACAAACATATATCAGTGACTTCAAACGAATCAGCTACCTACAACAACAGCTTTGATGGTCAGTGAATCATTTCTGATGATCAGTCTGGAAATTCAAATGAATCATCAACAGCAAAAACAAAGATGGTCTGTGAATTTTCACTAGCAATAAAATCTTTTTTTCAACCACAATTTTTTTTTCCTTAAAATGTGTAACAAATATTTAAAAGTCTTGTCTAAATGACAGTCTTTTTGATGTACTAACTAGTCAAAGACTAACACAATGAAAGACTATTTTAATACTTTTTAACTTCTTCATATTTTCATGTATAATACAACCTTTAAATCTTAAAATCACCCTTTAAAAATTGGGTGACATCTTGTAGTACAATTCTAAAAAAGAAACCTTAAATTCTGAATGACATTTGTCAATAGGCCAACCTCAGCCTTGGTGCGACAACCAATAATGTGCATGAAAAGATTCACATTATCAAATAAACTGATAATAAAAGTAATAAAATCATTTCTACCTTATATATTACTGGCATAACATCATAATAAACTGCCTATTCGAAGAATAATTCCATATTAATGAAATTGACTTCTTAAGCTTAGCTGAGAAAATATAAACATCTAGTTATGATTGTGTTCACAGCAACCTTTATCTTTCACTAAGCTTTCAATAATCATCATGGTAGTGTTAATTATGGCAGTAATAACATTTAGGATAACATAATTTTCATTTCTCTTTAAAAATTCATTATCATTTTGGTGTTAAATAATAACATCATTTAGGATTACATGCAACCTTTTATTTTTCAAATATAAATCCTTTTATGGTAGTTGCATTTAAATCTTTTAGGAAAAGAGGAGGGTGTAGAAGAAAGGCAAAACATGATATAGAATCGGTTTTGTTATTTCTTTTATTTTGAATTTTCCAACGAGTTTCCCTATGTACAATAGAGGAAAATAATATTTATTTTGAAAATAGAGAAATGTAGCACAAGGCCAAAAGGTGGGTATAGGGGAAGGCTGATCTTCAATCTGTTTTCTTATCTTAATCTTAACTTGCCATGATTACTGGCCCAAACATAACCCAGTATTCTTTTACACTCAAACAACACATTCTTACTTACCATTGTTACTACAGCCACCATAGTATCTCAAAGTCTCTATGAAGTTCTAACTAGTCCCTGTGTGTAGAATTTGTCAGTAGGGATGTGAGGAGCAAAATCCCAGAAAGTAAGCACAAGTGTTTGTGTGCATTCCCTATATAGTCCTGAATAGAACGCCACCTGGCAAAGTTGGGTAACACCCACAATTATAGAGAGATAATGCAAGACTGTGCTTCTTTTGGTGATTAGACAAAAAAATGTGTTACTGTTTTGATGTGAAGTTTTCAATCATCTGCCGTATTCAGTAAATCTAGGATTTTTCGTTTACACTGGTATTTAGAAAATTCTCTAAATAAATAAAATTCCTTGAAATATTGTAAAAACATTTAAAAGACTTTGCTGAGTAAGAAAATAGAATTAAAATGCTGCTTGAAAAATGGCAGACGATTGTGGAAGAAAACTATGAATATGTCGGTCAATGAAGTTAATACCAAAAAATAAATTAGAAAAAACTATTTAATTTTTATTTGAAACAAACTTTTTAAGTTACACTTCTAGTAAGGAAGATAGAGAAAAAAAAAAGTCTTATTTTTACTTAATAAGCCAGAAAGAAATATTTTTAATGCTACTTAAATACTTAAAGATAAAAAAAAGGAGAAAGACTTCTTATGTCATTTTATGTCATGATGGAAAAGGTTTAAGTTCAACATTTTCTTTCTCTTTCACAAAAAAAACACAATCTTTAACTGTTAGACAGTTACATGCATAATGTTTCGGCTGAACTCCTTCCCACACAGATTCGTGTTAAAATAATTATCGCTGTTTTTGCCAAGAGACAGAAGTTAAATTCATTTCCTATTTTTTTTTTTTTACTTCCAGTTTAATTTAATCTTTAAAAATGTTTTCTTTTTTATAAAAAAGAATAAAACAAAATAGATATAAAATTTCAATTTGTGTATTATTATTATTAACAATTTTTACAAAGACAGAATGCAAACAAAATTACTTTGATAAGAATAATGAGGAAAAAAAAAACAAGATACAATATTTATTTTTGGACATAATGTCCTTTCTTGTCACATTAATTCAGTGTCTTATATAAGACATATTGGGCTTTATACAATGACAAGTTTTGATAAAAATTCTGCTCCTAGACGACAGACAGTCATTCACACACGCACACAATGTCCAGTGTGGATTCAATCATTTTGCATCCATCAAGAACTAGTTGTGTGTTCTTGATGTAACTTTAGAACCAATCAGAAAAGACATTAATGCACATGGCAGAACAGAATATGTCTTGTAGGGTTACTCAGTCGCCAGGTATATGCCACTGAATGGACCTAAATGGATTTTTTTTTCTATCACACTAACATTGCTACTGAATGTGTCAGAAGGTTGAGGTTTAAAGTGGGTAATGGCTATAATGTGGAAAAATTGCTCAAGTTCCCTTGCCCATTTGGAGATACCTTGGGTACTGGGCAATGATTCCAGCTCCCCCACCCCAAAGGAGAAGTACTGCCTTTTGGCCACATACAGTTTGAAACAGTTGCATTTATTACAACAATGTCCATTTTCATACTTCATGCCAAAATCACATCACCTCTCGATCTTGATCGTGTGATATCAAAATTTTCCCAAAGCTAAAATCAATTTTGTAAATAAAATTTCAAAAAGAGGGTAAACTTAAGGAGAATGTGACAAAATAGTTGATGATGAGCCCCAAAAAGAGAAACTGTGGAGAGCCATGATTGTCTACGTGCTGAAGGGACATGGCACACACAAAAAGAAGCATCCAAGAAACTTAACCACATGGCCAAATTTATGGGCATC